AGGACAATAAACTCGATTGCAATAAAAACTGCTGCCTTAGAGACACAAATCTCTGATGAGCAAACTTTGCAGAAAGAAGCTCCATTTACATTTTAATAGAGCTTCTTCCTGTACAGTTTGGAAAGTATAACATGCACATTTATTTTCACCTGCATATATGAAGCACATTGATAACAAAATAACGACATTTTTTTATGTGTTTGATTATAGAGATATCGAGTTATTCGAGGCAAAGTTTTACATCACACAAATCAAGTACTTGAAATTTGAGGATTTTGGTTGCATGTTTGTGGTGCAAATATATCTTGAGTGGCTTACATTGTTCTGTCAACCATTGTCTGTTATTGTTTTTTCTTCTCCAGTGGACGTGTTTTGTTCAAAGCCAACTACAGCTAGCAGCTGTAGTTGGTGTCATTAGTGCATCTGAAGTAGCTCATTTTCAGAATCAGCTAAATGACCTGGGAGGCAAACGAGAAATTCCACTCTCTTGGATAGATCTAGGTTTAGAAATTATACTCTTGTATTTTTCAAACAGCAATATTATGCTTTATGTATTCAGTGGTACATATAACCCACAGAGAAAATAAAAGACGTGGTATTTTAGTGAAACACCATGACAACAGCCCTCCTCCTCCTCCTCATCATCATCATCAAGGGCTGTCCTTGATGATGTATGTAAGAAAACAAAAATGTTTTCTCTTTTCTGTAAAGACTGCTGTAAACATGCACATCACATAATTCAGATGGGTGATGAGATTTGAATATTTCAAGAGATTTCAAGAGAAGCTTAAAATGCTCTGAAATATCTTTGTACAACCAACATCAGGAGATGATATGGCTCTCAAAGTCATCATTGTCTGTGTGGACTTCATTCTGGTCTTCTTGAATATATTGCCTTTCCATTCTTCAACCCATCTTCCATGTTCAATTACCGAAATAAGAAATTTACTTTTCATCTAAAAGCAGGATTTTGGACATCTGGACATCGATCATCCATGACTGAAATTAGAAGCATACTACCTTATTTTAGATAATATGTTTCTGATGTTTTCTCTCGTTCAGGATTTCCTTAACACTAGCAATGCGACAGCTGTTGTCCCTGTTCTTGGTATTGTGGGTCTCCAAGCTCTGAACCAGTCCAATGTGGTTGTGGGTATTTCTATGTGACATTAGGAAACAAAAGCATTTTTCTAAGACTAAATAGGACAGGAACAGTTCCTCTACGGATGTAGTCGAGAGTACTAAGCTACTATCAAGGGAATGGATGAATGGCGCAGACACTAAATTCATTCTATGCAACATAATCTGCCTAGTTTTGCTTAGCAAGTCAGGAAAATGCCATTTACTTAATAATTTGCAATTCTCCCTTATAAATGATAACTTTAATGTTTTGCTGAAATGATTTACAATTCATATAGGAGTCATTTCTTCTCACTGTGCCAAGTCTTTTTCTGATATCTAGCACTCTTCCCATGACACTCAGTGCTTCATTGTTTCCCTCTACAGTAGCTGGTGATTATCTCTGCTGATATGAAAAAAAAATCCTCAAGTCTCTTTCAGTCTTTCAGCAACAGATAAATTTTGCCGAGACAATGCTTTCTGTATGAAACTGGAGCCTTTTATGTGTGCTGCAGGCTTGCTGTTGACCATTGTAATGTATTCTTTACAAAGCAAACAATCTGATAAACAGTCTCTAAAGAGTTGATAGCTCGAGTTCATGACGTCCAGTTGTTTTCTGCTGCATTCTGACTTCTAAAATTCAGTTCAGTGCAGTATTACAGCGCTTGTAGATGAAATAAACAACTCAGCAGGGAGCCTTAAATCATACATATAGTACCTCTTTTCCTTTAGGCTCCAGCTTTACAAGCATCATAAATAAGATGTGACTCTGGACTGAATGAATGGCAAGGTTTAAAGTCTGTATTGTACATTATAGAAAAAAAGTTGCAGTGTTTGTTTAAATTTTTTATCAGTTCTCCTCAATATTTTTATACCCAAGTTCAAAATATGCATGAACATCGTTGACAGGAACATGGCTATTGCTTTAGACGTGTCTCAAAGTTTTAGAGCAGCAGAGGTCTTAAAGAGCATTCGAAATGAGAGCCGAAGCTGAAGGTGAGAAGACTGAGGGCAAACAGTTAATCAATTCAGGAATTATGTTTCTGGGTATTTCCACGATGTATGATTTATAAAATCATGAAAGATTCATGTGATTTCCTGGGAAAGGCGACTAAAATCTAACAGTGGAACATCTTCTGCACCATATTGAAACAGACTTGATTCAGTATTCATGAACACTTCTAACAACCAGAGTCACTGATCACTGCTGCAAATAAACTAGTATAAAAAAAATAAGTTTTATTACATGTTTGGGATGGACTCAGTGGAAATGTACCATTTAGAATTAAAGTTTAATAAAAAATATATATGTATAAGGAAAGTGATCCATGATGATATGAGGAGTGGATCTAAGGAATCCAACCAGGAACTGATGATTGAAGAATTTGTTTCTCCTGACTTGTTTTTATCATTATCTGTTGGTTTTTGTTCTTTCAGATAAATCTAAATGTTAACCTGGAACTGGGCTGATCAGTGACAGAATGGGACACACACTATTCTATGTTTATAAGTAAAACTTATAAGAAACATCTAATTTAATACCAGCTGTTCTGGTATTTAATTCCCCCCCACATCTATATTTGGGATTGAAATCTTGCACCAAATTTGAATCTCAAATTGCTTATTTTGAGTGGTTCCTTTTTATTTACAGTGCAAGATGCTGAAAAACAGCCTGAACTAAATGTCCTTGCTGATTGCATTAGTGATTATTTGAATGCTCTTATTTTTATTCCGACATCTGGGGCTAAATTAGAGGCTGCAGCTTTACTAGTAAAGAAATCATATCCATATTCAACAGCTCTTCCGCTCTCTTGCACCATGTGTGTATGTGTCCACTTTTGTGCGTGCACGTTAGCGTGTGCCTTGATGCCAGTATCACTCAGCCTTGAGAAGCCTTCAGTGCCTGGAGGCATTAGAATCAGGGTCACGTTCCAGCGGACAATTCGGACAAAATGGTCTTTAGGAGGAGAAGTCTGTGTGTGTCTCAGTGGGTTTTGTGTGCTGGGTTGGAAAGCAGTATAATCATATCATGTAAGACTTCATTAAAATATTAAAATAAACATAGAGTATCACATGATGCTACTTTAGGCTTGAGCAGGACTTTCCCTCCCTGCTGTCTTTCCTTTCTTTACTTTTTCTTTACACGTGTTTGGCATCTCTTACTCTATCTATGTGTTCCTCAAGTACAGCCTTGTCAGCTCTACTTTTATTGTCTCTAAAACCCAATTGTGAAAAATCAGGACCCTGTTGACTTCCTGTAGCTGGTCCTACCCAAGGCTCCAGGAGTCAAAGTTTGAACACCAGGAAGCCAAGCCCAGGAGCTGAATTGGGGGTTTTGTTTGCTGCTGCTCTTTTTATGGTCTGTTGTGGTGACCAAAGAGCTGAACTAAAAGGGAAAGCTCTTCACTTACTTATCCTCGGTAATTACCTCCAGCTGTCCCTCGTCTCCTGATAACTTCACCTCCCTACCTCTCAGTCCCAGTGTTCTGTGCTTGATTCTCCCACCATGTCCTGCTCTGATTTCTTCATGTTTTTACCTATAAGTCAGCAACTTTACAATTAAAGTCCTTGTTCGCTTTAGGAAGATCTGTCTGCCACCTCCCAAACTATGACACCGTCCTTTCCCCCTTTAAATATCTCATAGATCATCTGAGGTGATAACCTGTCAAGGACATTGATACTCTGGCAATTAAACCAACTATTGATACTTTGGCTCTTGTCGGTTAGCGTCAAGTCTTGCTGAGCAATGAGATCAGCATCAGTAGAAGGAAACATGAAGTTTCCTGGTCGGCTACGTGGACTTAAGAAAACATAGGTAATAAATTACAGAAGACATGGCTCCTCAAGTTATTGCTGATTGTGGAAACCTTGCACTAGTGCCAATAGCTGCATTTCCATTGACCACATAATTCCACAAATTGGAATAAATTTGCTTAATAGAAACCCGCCAGTTTAGGAAAAAACAAAGTTTTTCTATAAAAGTCTTTAATACTGTGGCGAAATCAGTGCATTTCACAAAACTGCAATGGAAACACTTTTTTCGCATGGCATAAGTCATGTGATTAACAACCGGATGTTACTACTGGCGGAAAAGACGAAGAACACAACAGGAAGTGAGGATGATGGCACAGCATGTTTTTTAATGTCCTGTCATGTGAAAAAACGTATTTGTGATTTGTATTACATTTCTTATTTAATGGAAACACCACAATTACAAAATTGTGTTTTTCGATATTAGCAGAATATCTACAGTTTTGTGCATATTTGTAATTTAAGTAGCTATTGCCATCATTACAGATGTCGTGCCGGTGGTCTTTTTTGTCATTATCTGGGCCAATGTGAAACATTTTTCTATTTTAAACACTTTTTCTGTTTAAAAAACAGAAAATATTTCTGGTTGTAATATTCAAAACTAAATTTTGTGTTTTCCTTTTAATCAAAATTAAAATAATTTAGGCTTTTAAAATCATCTCTGTGTGTAAAGATTTGAATGTTTGAATTGAGATTAACCTGTATTTAATTTACCTTTTGACTCGTTTTATTTATCTGTTTATGCTACTACAATAACTTCAGCATGGGACGGAACACAACCACCAACCATCTGCTCATTAAACAAAGTATTTAGGTTTTTTATTACGGGATTCAAAATAAATATCTGAGAGTTTTAAATATAAAAATTACAGTAACTGTAATTTCAGTGATTTTTACTTTTCCCTCATCTTTGTCCCCCCCTCTCAGGGGATCTCTGTTGGAGGCAGAACTGGCGTTCAGCTGCATTTTTGACACCTCCCCGGACCAATCATCTGCAGGCTTCAGCAGCGTGAGGACCAATGGCAGCATCCTGTGGGCGTCTCTGGCCACACTGAGGTGCGTATTTTGGAGTTTGGTAAATGACTGCAGCAGGAAAATACAGTGTCGAAGCGCACGGAGCTGGCACTGCTGTGTGTATGTGTGTGAGTGCGTGCCGGTGCGCGCCAGGCAGTGGTCACCTCTCCTGCCATGGAAGAGGGTCCACATCGGTCGGACACACAGGGCTACATCTTGTTATAAAACTCTGCTCAACAGCGGGACTCTGTGCTTTTGTTGGGATTTAACGCGCCCTGTGCGCCGGTGGGAGCGGATGCGGAGCACAGCAGCGGTCGCCGGCGCGTCTCCAACTTGACCACCACCAGACAATGGGAACAGCTGAGCCGAGCTGCTGCATCGCCAAGTACTACTACAACTGCTCGCCCCTGGGAGATAAGTACGAGGAGAAGAGGGAGAACCAGCAGCGAGAGGAGGGGGTAAAGAAGGAGAGGGAGAAGAGGAGGCAGACGTGTTGTACCTGCAGCAGCAGCGCCGGGACTCCCACAGCAGCCGATACGCACAGATCCAGAACGACGCTCCGGCTGCCCCAGGGATCCATGTGAGACAAAGCCTGCAGATGTGAGAGAAAGCTCTCCTCTGTGTGCGGATTTTGGGAATATAATACATTCATATTTGTTTCAGCGCTCCAGGGACAAGCGGATGCCGGTTTCTGCAGTCAAACAGCAACTGAAGGAATATGTCTCATTTCTCTGTTAACTGCGGAGGAGCGCACAGACCGGACCTTAGAGTCATTGCGTGTATTTGTGTCAAATATTAGCAGCCTGCAAGCGGCTGCTGTCCTCTGAAACCAGTGACCCCCCCCGCCCCCCTACCTTCCCTTCTTTCCCATCTTTGTCCCCGGTTGTTCCCACTTGAACCAAAACCTGGACGAGCTTCCTCCTTACGGTCCCTCCGGCTGCCTCTGTCCGAGGTCCTGAACACATTTTCGGGCTGGATTCAGTGGATATTCTGTTGCGGCGGCGCTGGGGGAGTGAGAGCGGACACAGGCATGATTTTATGGAGAGTGAAGTGATGGCCATCCCGCGGCTCGGCACTGGAGAACACGGGATCTGAAACGGACACGCATCCACAGAGAAGCAGGACATTCCGGACTCACCTTGGAGGTCATAAACCATCACCCAAGCCCCCCCTGTCCCCGTCACCAGACCTCCTTCTCAGCCTTTTCTGAAGAGTGTCCAACACCTTCACAACCCCCCTCCAAATAAAATGAAACTGGCAAAAATGTGCCGAGTGAACGCGCTGGGGATCTATTTGTGGGAAACGGTTTTATTTTTCAGGTAAGCACAGGCATGGAACTGACTTGATGGGCGGGGAAGGAAAAGAAATAACCAAGAGTGCGTAATTTGTTTGGGGATTTAATGAAAAGCAAGTGAAATTAGCATTTTTATTGCCTCGATGCGGTCTGGGACATGCATGGAAATTAAAGCTGCGTTCAAAAGTCTTAAAAGGAGAAGAGGGAATTCGGGGGAGAAAAGTTGTCAAAGTTGCCTGTGGGTTGTGTGAGTTATGGCTGATAAGTATGCGGGTCCGTGGGAAGCACTCCCTGTGATGAAGTTGCATTGACATCAGACAGGGTTTGTTTTTGGGCGGGAAGTGCGACCGCTAGTGGTTGGATATCGTCTGGGGCATTAGTTCCACATTTTAATTTTCTATAATTATGCAGGATAAATTTAATCAAAACACAAACACACACAGCAATGAAGTTAATCACTGAATCGTTTGCTGCTCTCAGGTGATTCCTCACCCCTCAGCCTCCTTCCTTTTTATTTTCCTATGACACCCCATGACCAAGACTAACACAGCACAAAACTAAATGTGTGAGTTGGCATTTGTCATCGGTTGATATCACAAACAAGCAGTTTGATCCAATTACTTTAATTTGCACAACTTGCTCTTCTGTGGGAATATGTCAGCACAGTAAAATATTATCACTAATTCAGTTTTAAAAGTTATTTTCATTTTACACAGAATCATTACTCATGTTTTAAATACATAGTTTGTGTATTTTCTTGTTTATGGTTAGCAGCTAATGAAAACTCAATTTGGTTTTGCTGAAAATAACAATGACTTCATATCATATCGTACAATTACACGGGGCTGTATTTGAGCCTATGAGTGGAAGGTTGTGTGGAAGGAAGAAGTGTTTTAGAAAAACTTAGCATGGAACATGCATATTGGCTTCATGTTATACAAACAACTTCTGTAAAACCAAAGTTTGGTTTTCCATGACAAGTTAGACATGATCATTAAAATTTACCAAAATAAACATTTGAACTACATCACTCTGATGTTATGAATTTTACATATGGAAAAAGTATAGAGAAAAAGATGCAGTGATACAGAGAAAGCATCAGAAAGAGCAGACTGTTTATGTCTTATGCTTTAAAAAAAAATTACAACAAATGTGGTATGAATTCCCTAAAGACCCAAACAAGAACTGGAGGGGAAACAAGTAGAGGTCACATTATTGTGTTGTTTCAAATGCTGTGAAGGTTTGCAGTTTGCTCCCTTAGTTTAGTAGAAACTTACTGGTGAAATTTGTAACAAACATAATCTTTTATAAAACATGCAATAAATAATTGAGTCAGCTCAATAAAACCAAACAGTTTGGCAAATTTAATGAATTTCCAATTCAACAGATGGAACAACTAAATTATTGAAAGAAAAGTCAATGAATTCTCTAAACCTTCAAAGTTCAGACTTAAAACTCGGGTTAGTTTAAATTGAGAAAAAAGTCATTAAATATTATACCCACATATTTCTATGCATCTCTAAACTTTTTCACTTCTGGTGACATAAATATTTGCATTTTCCAACCTAAATTTTACTACCAACGCTACTGCATCCCTACATTATGAACAGTTTGGCAAAATTTGAGGAACATATTTTTTTACAGACTCGTAAGACTAAGAAAAATCTGTGATGCTGTAGATGATCAAGGATTCAGACAGGATTTGAATCAGGGTTTGAATCAGGGTTTGAATCAGACAAACCTTACCTGAACACATCTACTACTTTGTATAGCAAAGAATAGAGTACATGTGTTACACAGCTCTGTGCTAGTATTTGTTTTCCCTTTCTAGATGTATAAAAGCTGAAGAATTAATTATTCAATCAATGCAATGAAAAGCACCAGTACCACTTGCAGCAGAATAGCCCCACAGCTGCTACCATCACCTGCTTAACCGTGTTCTTGGGTTTAAAATCCCTACAATGACTCTTCAAAATATTATCTTTGTGCCAAATAACTGAGTGTTGTCTGATCATAAAACCTCACTCTAGAAAGGATTTGGCTTTTTTCAGCTGTAACTTATAGTCAAGCTTGTCTGTCGTCTTGGTTTCTGAGTGCACAATGAATTAAACTGGTTTTGTTGTAGAGAATGATGCTGGTGATGCAGTTTACAATTTATGGCAGACTTCTTGAGCTTTGTTTGTTGCTGGATTGTTTTTAAAGATTTTAACTTTTTTTCTGTTCATCTAAGAAGGTAATTGGGTCTTTTTACAGACACTTTGCAAAATGGTGACATTAATTATTTGATGTGAGAATCTTGGAGTCTGTAGTTGATTAGAAGAAGGCTCTATAAAACCTTATTGACTTGCATAGGCCTAGAGTTTTCCTCGTTAGATTTTGAGTTTCATCAAATTTCCCTTTTTCTATGATTGGTCAATCCAGTTGTTGGTTTATATTTTTATGCTACCGAAGAAGGAACCAGCTGGGATTGCTCATGATCACTAACCAGAAGACAAAATATATTGTAGGACTTTCTGCACAACTTTTTGGCGTGTGTGCATCATTTTGACCTTGCATGTATGAAGTAAAGAAAATGGTTCAAATAAATCAATAAAAACACTCATTTACTAGAGCATTAATGACCATGTGTAGATATGAACTTATTTATGGAATTAACTTGGTTTAAAGCTAAATTTGGCTGCATTTGATAGAGTTGACTTGGTTCTTTAGAGTTTCCTCTGAACAGGTTCTTAGTAAAGTCTTATAATATGTTTGTTAAAGGTGTATGTGGCTTACAATGGAAGACTTTCGCTACTATAGACAGCATGGCATTGTAAGACACAATTCATGACACATTATTCTCCGTTATCAGTCCTGTGGGAGATCAACCAGTTCTGTTTTGGGTACATACTTCAGTTTTTCCTCTCCAATTACTAAATACTGTCACATCTCAGCACTGAGGCTGACTACACTTCACTTTCCCTTTAATCCTGCCCACAGCTGCTGATTGGCAAATCGTCAGTCTTCATGCTCCGCTCAGTGAAACAATGTCTTTCCAACCGAGAAATGAATGTTTCATGTCATGATGCGAGACAAATCATTCATCTCAGTGTAGCAGAAAGACCCAAAGGTCTGCATCACTCCAACCTTTGTCTCCAAGATGACACAGACGATGGGATCCGTTTTTTTGGTGGATTCCCTTATATTTGGTGTCCAATTATAAATAGTAGTGTATTAGAAGATAAGAATTTAAACTTTTGTTTTCTTTATTTATTTCCAGTTTTATGGTCAATTGGAAACTTATTTTTAAAGATCTTATAATAAATTGTGCACATGAAGCTAATTTTCAGCTAAAGAATTGCTGCTGAGATAATATCTCCTAAAGTTTTATAATTTTTAACACATAATCAAATTTGTCCAAATTGGGAGTGGTTGAGTTTGATGGCAGGAGAAAAATTAATGTCAATTTAATGAAAACTGAAGGAAAAATGGAACTTGTTGTTCTAGAAAGTCTTTAAAAGCCATGTGATGCAACTTTTAATCAGAGACAAGGAAACAGAGAGTCTTATATTAAACATAACTAAACTCTGATCATTTTAATACACTCAAGTAAAAAACTAAAAATGCTTTACTTCTTTTCTGCTTTTTAATTTTTGTTCTCACTGTGGGATTTTCTTGGCGACTGAATAGCTTGATTCATTTTGTTCCTTTAGAGACGTTTTTAAAGGATTGCCAATAAATTTGGTTAACTCTGATTGCAGGAAATTTCCATCATGAAATTCATTTTTAAAAAAACTTTTGACAAATCGTAATAAAATTGAACTTGATGTGTTAGCAAACTAATTTACAGTAGTTAAAAGTAATTAGATATTATGAAGAAGTCAATCTAAAGGAAGTATAAAACATTTAAAAGTACTTTTAATATTTATGCATTGTGCAGCTCCTACATTTAAGACTAAGAATCCCAGTATAACCCTGCTTACCTTCATAATATCATTTGGTGGTGATTTAGAGCTGCTTTGAATTTAACCTGCAGGTGTAACGCACATTTTTCAGCTCATTGCATCACATGGATTTATACTCGCTGCACAGCCTCTGAGGTATCTAATTATAAAAACTATTAGAAGCATTTTTCCACAAGCTGCAGACTTCCTCATTTTATAGAATTAGGCAGCCATTTACAGCTGGAACAGGGGGTATTTTAGTGGTCTGCAGGAGTTCTGCATTCAGCGTATACACTGATTAGTAATGAACCACCGTCAGGTATATTGCTGTCTCAGCTTCTCGGCTCTGGACTCTGCAGTTTTCTGCCTAATTGATATCTCTTTCCCCTCCATCCCAACCCAGACCCCTTACACCTCATTCCCCATTCTGCCTTATTACTAAACATCGATTAGCCCGTCAATGACTGAGGCCAGACCTGATGAATACACATTAAATGCTTAAACATCGCTCTCTTTTTCCTCCCTCTCTATGTCTGTGCTTTTTCTTTTTACTCATTAAAACAGCTGAGAGTTTAGAATTTAGATGCAAATGTTCACCTCAAATAAAAATTTAATGACATACCAGATTTTAGTACAGAAAGTTTTTCAAAAAGGCATTAAGGAGACGAGATAAAGCAATGACTCACTAGAAAGAGCTTTACAGTGAATGTTGTCTTCTTCCATGTTCAGTGAATCATTTGTAGAAAAGACAGTCTGCATGTTTTCAGACTCATTCTGAAAAAAGAAAATTTACAGCTTCATTTTTTTCATTTCATTGCCTGAATTTTAGTGAATACGATTCATTGTTGTATTTTAGTCCACAGCCCCACAGCATTGCAGTTCCTCCACCGTACCTAACAGTGAACATTTGGTGCACTTAGACTTACAGGTTTTCTTCCTTTGTTTTACACCAAATCCAACTGGAGTGTTTGTTGCTCAAAACCACCATCTTAGCTGAATCAGAGTAAAGAACACAGTTCCAGTTAAAATCGCAACAGGAATTAGCCAGCTTTAAGCATATGCAGTGTGTTTGCGTTGTTAGGGGACAAATTGCTTTTTCTTC